TCCTTTCCATATAAAGTTAGTGATTGGTTTTTCCATATCCCTAAAGAATGTTGATGGGATCTGGATTGGGATTGCATTGAATGTATAGATTGCTTTGGTAATTTTTTTTTTAAATGTGATAAAATATGTACAACCATTTATCAGTTCAGCAATTTCTACATGATGATTCCGTGACATTGATTATATTCTTCATGGTGTTCAACCATCATTGACATCTTTTTCCAAATGATTCTATCACCATTAACATAAACTCAATGCTCCCTAAACAAAAACTTCCCTTTGAAAGGAAGATTTTTTGGTAACAGATTGGATTTAGATCCAGTAACAAACTTGTCCCAATTTTTAATGTTCTATTGCATCATCCTTGTCATTATAAAAGTATCTTGGCCATGTCAACATTTTGTTATCCAAACTAAGCTGTAAGACAAAATTTCACATTCCAAAGCTTTTAAAAAATTCTTTGTTTAATCATATACTAATGAAATTTGGTACACAAGATATCATCCCTCTCTGTATAAGAGATGAAGTAAAAGAGCCAAAACCATCCCAAGCTCATATTTTGGTGGATTTCTGTAGTGTATAGAAAAAGCACGTTAGCATTTTGACATTACACAAGCCAGAGACCTGGACTTGAATCTGCCACTTGCTGGCCTGATAATTGTAGGCAGCGTAGTAGTGGATGAGGAAAGCAGACCAGACTGGGAGGCAGTTCAGCAGTGCCTCCAGGTAGCCAGGCTGCTGAACTGTAAGGCAGAGATCATGCTGTTTACCTCCACCAGCGATAACAGTCCCACTCAGCCCTTTATGGTGCCCTGTAGTTCATTAGTTTTCAGACTTCAACTCACTGATTATAACATTAAAAATAAAGGTGTAAAACTCATGCCATCAAGTGAATTCTGATTCATAGTGACCCAGTGGGACAGCATAGAATTGCTCCATAGGGTTTCCAAGGCTGTAATCTTTTTGGAAGCAACATCAAACCAAACTCTGCCGTTGAGTTGTTTCCGACTCATAGTGACCTCTCCTTGGGTTTCCAAGGCAGTATCTCTATGGAAGTAGATTGCCTAGTCTTCCTTCTGAAGAGTGGCTGGTGGGTTAGAACTGCCGGCGTTCTGGTTAGCAGTCAAATGCCTTAGGCACTACACCACTGGAGCTCCTTTTATGGAAGCAGACTGCCATGTATTTCTCCCATGAAGTAGCTGGAAGGTTCAAACTGCCAACCTTTTGGTTTACAGCTAGCACTTAACCACTGCACCCCAGGGCTCCTTATAATGTTTCTAGGGTACATGAAATACCTGTGCCTAAACTTGGCATAATATTTTTTCTTAAGTATTCTCCTTATGAGAAAAGTGCTTACCTGAGTCCATTTCCTTTTCCTGACCTTCCTTAGTTCTTCCATTCCCAGGATGAACTTCCTGCCTATGCATTTTCATTGAAAGAAGAAAAAGGACCCAGCTTTCAACAGTGTTCATTCATTACTTCAAGATGGTCTTAGCTTAATACCTCTAAGCCTTGGTATATTTATTTAATCTGATCCTCATACATAGTAATCACTATTTTATTATTTATTTTATTTCACAATCTTCCAGACCAGCTCTGGGGTGGTGGGGGGAGAGAAAGACAAAACCAAACTCACTGTTGTTGAGTCGGATCTGACTCATTGCAACCCCTCCTTGGGTTTCTGAGGTGGTATCACTACAGAAGTAGATTACCCAGTCTTCCTTGTGAGGAGTGGCTGGTGGGTTTAAACCACCAGCCTTCTGATTAGCAGTCAAATACCTTAGGCACTACGCTACCACAACTCCCTAGACCAGCTCCATATAGCCTTAATTCTACCTGAGGAGAGTTCTCTCAGTGCTTTATAAGTTTTTGAGCTATGTGCAAGCTTACAATTGTAACTCCGGGATACGGCAACTTTAAGTCATAAACGGATTCCCAAATATGAATTGCATATAAATAGAATAGGGAAATTATAAACATAGATGTTTGACTAATATCCCAATTAATTTTTTTAAATGAATTTTTAAAATAATATTTTTTTTTTCTGATAATAAAACATGCTTATTGCAGAAAACTTGTAAAATAACATTTATTAAGCGGGTTTCTGTTTATAAAAGTAACACTTGCTTATTGAAGAACACTTAGAGAAGCATTGCACTTTTGAATCCTACTTGGTTCCTAGCTGGAAGAGGTGCAAGGGTCTCTGAAGGTCTTTGAATAGCAGTAACAGTGAGGAACATGAGAATTAAAAACATGAGAAAACCAGGTCAGGATGACTTCTAACTTTCAGTTTCCTACTGTTCTGCTTACCTAGTGCCACTCTGATAAGAATATACCACAAATCGGATGGCCTTAACAAACAGGAGTTTATTCTCTTACATTTCAGGGGGCTAGAAGTCCAAGTTCAGAGTGTCAGGCTCTAGAGGCTGTGTGAAAGCCCCTCAACCTTGGGCTTCAGCTCTGCCTCTTGCTCCTGGCCCACTGAAGTTAGAGACATTTATTTACTCTGACAGCTATTGGCTGCTGAGGCTAACAAGCCCAAGGTCGACAAATAAAATGACACAGTCCTGATGTTACCAAACCACACAGCAGGCCATTAATTCAAGTCTCTTGTAAGTCCCAAGGTCAGCAGAGCATTCCAGGCTGCTGAACAACAACACGGCTACATGCAGGCTCCAAATGTGCCATAAGCTAGAAGCCCAGGGCTTCTCCTTGTATATGGGAAGCAGACCACATCCCAAAGGCAACTACTCAGCTTCTTGTGGTAGATCCCACCATGGAGTTGATTGCTAGTCTCATCATGGAGAATAACTACCACCAGCTGCCCAGCCACTCAACCAGGCCCAGCCACGTTGACATACAAATTTAACTACTGCACCTACCCATACTGAGTATCTAAGGTCACCTCCTATATCTCTAGATTAACCAGCTGTCTAAAGATTGGAGCCAGAAGTGGAGTGACTGGAAGGCCCTCATGGAGCACTACAGTGTGGCCATCATCAGGAGGAGGGCAGGACTGGTCATCGACTCCAGCCTGCCACACCTGATGGCCTTAGAGGATGATGTGCTCAGCACAGGTGTTGTGCTGTATCACCTCAAGGTAAGGAACATGGTGGACTTCCTTTTTTCTGAGCCCCTGTCCTCAGAGGTTTTGGTATTAAAGTTATGGTTGCTTCATAGAATGAATTTGGGAGGATTCCACCCTTTTCTGTGTTCTGGAATAGTTTGAGTAAGATTGGTGTTAGTTCTTCTCTGAACATTTGATAGAATTCTCCAGTGAAACTGTCTGGGCCAGGGCTTTTATTTGTTGGTAAATTTTTTTTTTTTTTTTT